TTGCCCAGTAACTTTAGATACTTTTCTGAGAGGAAGCTCTCATGCCATTTGACAGAAGGTTGATAGCTGAATTAAAATGCCAGAGCTTGCTTGAAAGGTGCATTTGAGGTTATTCTCTACCAGTAAAGCTGAAAAATCTCCATGCATCCTCAAGAAAGACTTAAAACCCTATCAAAAAATTTATTTTTTTTTAATTTGAATACAAATCTTTAGAATGCCTTTTGTGTACAGGACATTAAATATGTTTATTACAGGTAGCTGAACTAGAAGCTGAGTTTGAGAAGTTAGGTAATGAGAAGCCACAGCAAGCAAGATTCCTCAGATCTCAGCAGGACCTTAAAGCCAAGATGGAGGAGAAAGCTGCGAGGGCTGAGGCTGGCGAGGAGGAAGAAGAGGAGGAAGGTAGGGATATCTTAAAGTAATATTTTACTTTGAAAACACTGGAAAGGGAACTGATCACTGAAAATTTCCTTTTTCAAAAAGTGGTGGAAATAGTTTTTCATAGCTTCCTTGAAGCAGACTTTGTCACAGGAGTTTCTAGCTTTTATGTTACAGGTACAGAAGCCACCTGAACTGTCAAATCACTACTTTCATTATTCTTCAAGCTCATGAGATAATACTTAACATGCTGATTTTATGAACTTGGTGATTACAGGTGTTTCAGTATCAGAAACCAAAATTAAGGTACCCAACTGTATAGAAACTGGTCAGATTGCATAAATGTGTAGACTTGTTTGGTTCTATGCATTTGTTTTGCAGACAAGCATCTCTGATTGAGAATTTTCTAACAGATTATTGTTGGATACATTTTCTATTTGCTTTCTTGTGTAATGACACTGTTAAATTGTGATTTTATTTATTGAAACATTGATTAACATTGATTTCAGGTGAGGCAGCTGAAGACGTAGATCCTTATGAATTATTGGAGCCTGTCAACATTCTAGCAGCATTGCCTAAAGACTTCTTCGATAAAATTGTATGTTTGTTTTGAATAATAAATTAAATAATAAATTTCCGAGGGTTTACAGCAAAACTGAAGTAACTTATATGAAATAAAGAAGGACTTACAACAGTCTTGCAGTAAACCCTCTATATGTTCATGGTCAAACCTGTCTTATTTTGCTAAAATATTACAATTGTCAGCGTGCAGGGTTTGATTGATATTTCATTGGGATTAAATATTTTTGTGTTTCCAATAGTAAATGTTAATTTTGTTGTTTTCTAAGTTAAAGTAATTATCATATAAATTTTTGGCACATATCAGAAAAAAAATCACAATTTATGTAAGTTATTAATGCTAAATATTTTCGCAAACTGTCAATTATTGTATGGCATTTATTTCTATGAATGACTTCTGTCATTATATATAATTGCATAAGCATTGAGATAACATTTTTTGCGACGGACGCGCCCTCAGGCCCGTTCAGAGCTAAGTCATCTACACATGGGATTTCGTCGGCTACAATCGCGCAACGTGTCCTTAACCAATTAACAGCCCAAGAAATAGTACATGAATTTGATCCTTTAAAACTCCCATACTTTGTCGGGATATCTTAAAATCTTCCATATTTAGCCTTTTCAATTTCAAATTAAGTTATCCAAGTTAAAATATGAACATATATAATTGATAAAAACGTTGTAGTCCCGTAGTATTATTGCGCAATATGCAATTACTGCCGAAACGATTTTACCGCTGTCGAAAAGTAGGACAGCAAATTTATACTATAATAAAGGTGTAAGCTCTGAGTTTCCAAGAAATTATTAGTAGGAAATAAATATTTCTACATTATATAAAACATTATTATTATCAAATCAAAAGTTTTTCGTGACTCTAGAATAACTCGCGCATTAATAAAATAAGAACTATTTTCGTGACTCATACCGCGGGTTTAGCTGAATATTCAGCAGTTATTAATAAATTAGATACAGTACAATGGTTAGTATAAATATCTATTTTTGAAAATGCATGTAACAAGAGAGTTTTTCAACAATTTACCACCATGTAGTCTTTCATGGTAATCTTTATTGAAGGAAGTTATAATATCAGTTCTACTTCCTATTCTTGTGGTTTGTTTACATATTTTTCAAGGTCACGATATGAGTTAACTTTCGCTATTCTAAAAATAGATTCTGCTTCACCTGTGCTGATTTTTGGACAGGCGATTAGGGAGTACACATTATACATGTAATAAACGCAATACTTTTAGAAATTCTATACAGTTGTAAGAAGCAAACAAGTTGAAAATGGAATTTAGTGTGAAATTGAAAAGGACAACTAAACACTGTAGTGCTTAAGTGACATTTAAATTAAAATAAAAACGATGTGCTCTGGCCTCTACATCTTTACCTTGTAAATAAAAAAACTCTAAAAAATACACTATTAATTGCTGATGATTTTAACCAAAAATATTTTTAATGAGACATATCCAAGAGAAATAAAAATACAAATGACTTATATTTTATTGTCTATATGCCCACTATGATATAACACGAAGCACTTCTAAATAGCAGTCTCACATGTATAATGTATTATGTGCATGGTTTTATTTTAGAAATATTTCGTTGACAGTTTTTTTTCTTTCTATTTACATATCATTTCTTGGGGAATAAATCGATAAGGACACTGATTTACAAGTTTGACCAGAGTTTTTAGGCATAAATTTCATTCTGTATTTAAATGCTTGAAAGTAGCAAATCTGAATTATATCAGATTGGGACACAAAATATATTGCTCTACAAATCTCGAACTTGTATGGAACAAATTTTCTCTGTTATATTCTTGTTTTTGTTTTTTTTTCTAAAAAAAGCCTTAATGTCTCTCCGGTTGCATGTCCGTCGCATTCAGTGCTGCAGCACTTTGATCTTTCTCTAAAGTAATTTTCTCATGTAGATTTCACTCATAAACTATAAACTTTTTTTCAAAACAAATGATGAAAATACTTTATTCATTGTCTTGTTTGTGTACACAGGAAGCCAAGAAATGGCAGGAGAGAAAGGAAGTTTTAGAAGCTGTACAGAAATTGTGTGAAAATCCTAAGATTGAACCGGGGGACCATGGCCCACTTGTAAAGTCACTTATGAAGGTGAGAGAAAAATGGTTTATTTCATCTTTTGTGTTTAGACAGCCTCATTATGTTGTTCAAAGCACGAGAAATTTTGTGTTTTTTAATAATAATAAAAAGTTAACGAAATATCAAACTATATGCTTACAAAATGAGGTAAAAATGACTGAAGTGTTGGTCCTATCATTGGATGAGATATTCATATACATCTGCAAGACAAGTCCCTATAGTGCAATGCCTAGGTCAAGACTTTCCATTTATTTCATTGTAAAAATTTAAATGTGACAAGTTCAGATTTAAGATCTGATTTTGCAACAGAATTCAAATTGACTGAATGGCCATATTCCATTTCAACATATAGGTATTGTAAACTCGAAGTTCTGTTAACCAAAAGTATTCTAGTTCAACAAACTGTATGTACTTTTCATTTGTATAAATGTGTTTTGGTAAATGATTCATTGATTTTAATTCTTTGATAAATCAATTTGATCTGTATGTGTTTGTATTACTAGGTTGTTGCTAAGGACACCAATGTGATGTTGGTTGCACTAGGTGCAAAGACCCTTGCGGGACTTGCCAATGGCTTGAGAAAGAAGTTCAGTCCATATGCTTCAAATGTAAGTTGATTCAGTGTAAAAAAGGAATTTGGTAGAATATGACCACAGTATTTATGAACATGAATTGCAGTAAATGAACGATATGAACATCGTACCAGTTTAAGGGATTTTAGTAAAATATATGCTCTGTACATAGAAATATGTTGTGTCCTATTTATAAAAGTCTTTTGCATGATTTTTTCCTAACAATTTTTGTCATCACTGCTATGAAATATGTCCATCATGTAACAACAGCTTAGTGTAAGACATGGCCACCATCTTTTGTATATGTTTTGGGTGAATTTTCATAATTCATATGACCTGAAATAATCAAAATTATTAACTTTTTCAAATGTGTATAGATTATTGATTGACAGAAAAATATCAACAATACATCGTTATCGTCTCTATCGATGACAGCTCTAGAAGAATGTGATGTTTATCTGGGAGCTATTGTTTATAATCCATTTAAACTTAATTATGAATTTGTCAGTATTTCTGTTCAGTTAGTTGAGAATTTGAGTCATCAGATCACTACCTTTATGCCAGTATGCCTAAATGATTGAATTATAGTTTCAACAAAAATAAAAACAAACAACTATATAATGCAAACTGGCCTTAATATAAGTGACAGATTTGAGTTTATGGATGAATTCATTGTGTTACTTAATTACTAAAATGTTATATTCATTTTGTATTACAGTGTATACAGACATATTTAGACAAGTTTAAGGAGAAGAAACCAATGGTGGTTACAGCATTACGAGATGCAATAGATGCTGCTTGGCTGTCTGTAAGTAAAAGTAGCTGAATATTTAATCTTGATAGATATGATGTGTTCTTTAGTCTAGAAAGTAAATGTTAATTATGAAATTGTGTTCAAATTTTAATGTATGTGTTATCCGATTATTAAAAGTGTTATGATATAATTTAGCAATTTTTCTATTATCTTTTGAATGGTTTTTAATAAACTTGTACAAGACTGTTTGAAATTCTTGCAGTGAAACAACAATTACAGCACTTGTGCAAAGGCTATTTCTGTTAGTCAAATTCTTTATAGGATTTTTAGACACCTTAATGGTAAAAGTATTTATTCGTAAGAAACATTTCCAACCTAAACAAAGAACAAATTTATTCATTTACTTACAGATTAATTTGGAGCCTATCACTGAAGATGTAATAGCAGCGTTAGAAAACAAGAACCCCAATATCAGGACAGAGACGGCCGCTTTCCTTGCCAGATGTTTCTCTAGGCTATCAATTTCAACACTTCCAAAGAAACAACTGAAGACATTTTGTGGCAGTTTATTAAAGGTATTTTACTGTAAAGTATCAAAATTTAATCTTTACTCCCAACTGAATACTTTAAATGAACTTGCCAGTTTTTCAGTCTTTACAAAACTGTTCTTCATTGTTAATGGAAAATTTCAAAATATATATATAACACAAGCAAAAATCAGGAGTAAATGACTCCCAAACTTGCACTAATGGAAGCCTTGGGTTAAAGGTCAATTATTCAGTAAATTTTAAAGCTGTATAAGCATTTACTTTTTAGCTTTTGCATGATAATATAATATGGGAACATTGTTGCTCACACAATTGGAAACATTTCCATGTATATATAAGAGTATGCTTAGCATTCTGTATCCCATTATTGGCTATTAATTCCTATCAAAGTGTGCACTCTGTATTGAATCTTTCAGACTGCCAACGACACAGTACCAGAGGTTAGGGAAGCATCATTTATGGCCCTTGGTACTGCAATGAAGGTTGTAACCGAGAAAAATATCATGGCTTATATGAACGATGTGGATAATCTGAAGATGCAAAAGGTTGGTTTTAACAATTTGTTATTTTGAGTAGACTACTATAAAGTTGATTATATTAGAAACTCATTACACTATTGTTATGACCAAACTTATAGAAAACCATTCACAGGGTTTTACGGGACGCAGAATTCTATACGCATAAATTTTGACATGTACGCATATAAGTTATCCACTTGCGTCCAAGTGTACGCACAAAAATAATCCTAGACAATAGATATTATTGTTTCTGACCCGACATGATTTTATCTCTTTCTTCTCGAAGCTCACAAAATTCCATTTAAATCTAATACAGCGTGCAAATGCTTGCATTTGTTTATTTCGGAAGTTAACATAATTGAAATCTACTGCGCATGCTATTTGCAAGTGCCCGCTGCAGAAACTGATGACGTTTATCGTGCAAGCTACAGTAACTGATGACGTTTACCGTAAAATCTATTTTAGGTAGCTGTTTTTGGTTTTTCAGTTGCTATATTTAGACAGACTATTTATAACAAGCAATTACTTTTAGTTAGCGTATCCAATGTCGATCTACCAGTTCGGCGAATGTATTTTGTACATGAACGGCAATAATAAAAAAAGCAGTGCTTTTTGCAAACCTATTTTCATAGTGTTAAAGAAATTAAGTCACTGGGTATGTTATTATCGTAGGTGTTATAAAGATAATGGTTTCGGCGAACTTAACTTATGAGGAGGTGCAAAAGCGGTTTCGTCGGCCTTTTGTTATATGATATTTTTAAAAACGCATCATATTTAACTGACTGTCTGTAAAGATATCTATTGTGTGTTTACTAGTTCAGCTAAAATATTTACAAATAGATCAGTACAAATTTTCAGTCTGTTGGTGTAATCATATAACTGTAATGGCTATAAAAAAAACCTAGTGATAAAAGATATTGAAATCATATACTTCTTATGAAAACAGTACAATATACATGCATATTTCTCACAGGGTAAATAAATGATTTTAAGCAAAATAGAGTGGTCTTCATAGTCTTTTATAGTGAATATAATTTTGGACCCCTAAAATTCAGGCCTGGACCCCTACTTTTCTAGGTTGTGCATCCACTGGACCCCTAAAATTTCAAAGAGATGTAAAACCCTGCATTCATTATGTTATATTTTTAGTCCTTCACTTTATTTATTGCTAATTTGATGAAAAAGACTTGCTTTGGTCATTTAGATTTTACACCGTCAGTTTACAATTTTGATGACTTTAAGTTGATAATCTTGAATAAGACAACAGCAATTTTGTTCAGGCAGCTTTTAAATGCAAGCTTTACAGGTAGCATTGGCAATATAACATCATCCTTGGCATTTTGAATGTTAAGCAATTGTGAATTGTATAATTTACATTTTAGTATATGAGTTACAGACTGTAACTGATTAGCAAAACTTTATTGTTTTCAGCATTACATTACATAAATAATGTTTGGATGTTTTGTATTTTTTGTTTTAGATCAAGGAGAGTTGTGACAAAGCTGTTCTGTTGAATGCAAAAGGTGAGCCACGTTCTGGTGGAGCACCAAAAGCTGTCGCACCAAAAGCCGGATCCACTGAACCAAAACCTGTGCAACGACCTGGCGCTCCACCTAAAGCTGTGAGTACTGTGTTTAATTTTTAGAGAGGGTGTAAGTACATAAGAGAGGGAATGAGGTGAACACTAAAGTGCTACTCAGAAAGTTCATGTAAAGGATAATATTTAATTTTATAGACAAGTGCTGGGGCACCTAAAACAGAAAGATATGCAAAAGATAATTAACATTTATTCTCAGAAATCAGTTGAAAATTTTTGTGGTATTCTAAGCCCGATATTGGTGCAACACTATTAGGTTTTGACTCCTTTTTCACAAATAGAATAATTATTCTGGAAAAATAGAGTGTGCAACTGATCTAACATTTTGCACGCTTGTTATTTGTGTATATCTACATCAAATGGAGTATTGATTTATTCTCAAAAAAATATTACCAATCCCATTATTTCAAAAGACCTCATTGGAGTCCCTCTAAGCATGTATGTTTTTATTTCAGAGTGCATCTGCAAGACCAAAGACTGCACCAGCCAAGTCTGGAGGGGTAGGTGTCTTTTAGGTTTGGATAGTATGATTGTGCTTTCATGATTTGAATTTTTTGCATTATTACAGAAGTAGGAATAAATGATGAATGTTTTGTGTTCCTCTTTGGGTTGTAATTAAAGTTTTCGTTATATTATGCATATCATGGGTTTGGTGGGAAATTGATTTGCTACCCTTTTGCATTAAAACTTTGATGTGACCCTTTTGCATTAAAACTTTGATGTGAAAATATCATTTCATAAAGTAGTTGGTAACTTTGAAATCAGAATAAATGATTTTTTATCAAGGCTTGGTATACGTCCTTTTAATGCACTTAACAATTTACTTTCATGTTTATTCATGGATAGAAATTATCTTGATACATAAGATGAACTGGCTACATGTTATCACAGTGTACCTGTTATTTTCACTTTTAAGCCTCCAAGGGCAAAGGCAGGTGGAGCAAAAGCAAAGAAAGATGGGTCAAAGAAAGCTTCAACCCCACAGGAAGAGAAAACAGAGAAAGTTCTATCAGTGAGTAACATATACATTTATATGTATCAGAAGTTAATTGACGCTGATTTATTGCTTGTTTAAAATGTAATAACCTAATTATGAAGTAAAGTTGAACAAAAAGGTAAAAGTTTACTAAATTATTAGCACATCTTATCACAGTTTTTGTGTCGCCTTGAAAAGGTGACATATAGGGGTTACTTTTGTCGTCGGCATCGTTGTCGGCGTCCCCTAAAGCTTGTCCGGAGCATAACTCAGTCACTATAAGTCTGATTGACTTCAAACTTGGTATGCATGCTTCTTTCAATAACCCGAAGTGCAGTACACAAGGACCGGTACTCTGCAGTTCTTATTTTTTGAGTTATTGCCCTTTGTTAATTTTCATACTTTAATTTTGTCCGGGCCATTTCTCTTCAACTAAAAAAGCTATGGACTTGAAACTTTATAGGATGATAGATCTCATTAAGAAGACGTGCAGTGCACAATAACCCGTACTCTGCACTTCCTAATTTTTGAGTTATTGCCCTTTGTTAATTTTCATACTTTATTTTTTGTCCGGGCCATTTCTCCTAATGTATAAAAGCCATGGACTTGAAACTTCATAGGATGATAGGTCTCATTAAGAAGAAGTCCAGTGCACAAGAACAGGTACTATGCATTTCTTATTTTTTGAGTTATTGCCCTTTGTTTATTTTCATACTTTAATTTTGTCCGGGCCATTTCTCCTTTAGTATAAAAGCTATGGACTTGAAACTTCATAGGATGATAGATCTCATTAAGAAGAAGTGCAGTGCACAAGAATCAGTACTCTGCATTTCTTAATTTCTGAGTTATGGCCCTTTGTTTATTTTCATACTTAATTTTTGTCCAGGCCATTTCTCCGAAAGTATAAAAGTTATGGACTTGAAACTTCATAGTATGATAGATCTCATTAAGAAAAAGTGCAGTGCATAAGAACTGATACTCTGCATTTCTTATTTTTTTAGTTATTGCCCTTTGTTGATTTCTTACTTTATTTTTGTCCAGGTCATTTCTCCTCAAGTATGAAAGCTATGGACTTGAAACATCATAGAATGATAGATCTTATTGATAAGAAGTGCAGTGCACAGAAACTGCTGCTCTGCACTTATTATTTTTTTAGTTATTGCCCTTTGTAATTTTTCCTATTTCATTTTTGTCCTGGCCATTTCTCCTAAACTACATTGTTCACAAGGCGACACATCCGACTCGCGGAGTTCTAGTTGAAAGTAAAAATGCTTTTCTAAGCATATAAGGATATGTCCACTTTTATAACAAATATTAAATATTCTATGAATCATATTTAAGATATATTTAAGTCATAAAGATATATTTTTCTACTAAACATTATAGAATTTCTAGTGTGAGCATGTTAAAGAAAGTAACAATAGTAAACACATTGGTTAACATAAAAAGGTAATAATCTTGATATTATACAATGAATGGCTTATTCAAGGATGAAGCTGTGATAGAAAAAGCAACAGAACTTCTGGGTGCCGAGATGTTGACACAGTTAGAGAACTCGAACTGGAAGGAGAGACTGGCGGGTATGGAGAACATGACAACAATGTTACGTCGGATGACTAAAGATATGATACCTTGTCAAGTGTGTGTGAGAACACTAGCCAAAAAACCCGGCTTTAAGGATAATAATTTCCAGGTACATATAGTGCTGTTATATAAAGGAAATTTGTATTTTTGAATGTGCGGTTATAAGGGAAGTTCGTGGCTGAGTGATTAAGGTCATTAAACTTCAAACCACTTGCCCCTCACTGCTGTTGGTTCGAATCCTGACAGGATCTGGATTCTTTTATGTTTAGAAGCTATTCAGCTTGCTTAATGAATGTTGGTGGTTCTACATGTTTGCTTGAAATAATGCAAGGAAGGGCACCTGAAGTCTGCCTCCACCAGTAAAGTTGAAAAGTGGCCATATAACCTAGACTGTGTTGGTGCGACGTAAAACCCAACCAAACAAACAAAAAACAAACATGCCTGAAGTCTTCTTCCACTAGTAAGCTGTGAAGTGGCCATATGACCTATGGTGCGACATAAAAGTCAGTTAAGATAAGTAAAGAAGAATATGGAATGGGTAAAGAGAATCAAAATAAGATTTTTTATTGCATAAATTTATGATATATAATGTATTTATAAGTTCTGATAAATTTCATTCATATTTCCAGGTTCTAAAGTTACGAATTGAGCTCCTTTCACATCTAGCCCAGAATGCAGAGTTCACTAAAGTGTCAGCAGAATACTGTTTACAAGACCTGGTGGAAAAGGTTGGGGATGTGAAGAATGGAGCAGCCGTACAAGAGGCCTTCAGTTGTATAGCAGAAGCCATTTCACTGGACTTTGTTGCTGGCGAGGTAAGTTCAAGTCTCTTTTTGGGACCCTGCATTGGTTGGTTGTGGAGGGAGAAAATACTTTTTTTTACCTATCTCTACAAACAACTTTATGGCATAATAAATCACTTTTATAAATTAGTGTTCATCATGCTATTGGACAAGAGCATCATTTGACAAATTGAAATTTTAAATTTCCCCTAAGATAGAATTTTCAAAATTAAGGAAATGTTGGTAAAATAGTTTTAATAACACACTTATATATGTCTCATGTTGTATGTATGAAAAAACTATTTTTATTATTTGAATAGAAGTTAAACTTTTGGAAATTGTTAATGCTGTAAATGTCAGAATTGGTAGCTTTGTTTTGGAATTTTTATAACTCAAGCTTTCTGTACATACTGCATACTATTTTCAGGTAATGAGAATGGCATTTGCCCAGAAGAACCCAAAGAACCAATCAGAAGCTTTGAACTGGCTTACTAAAGCTGTCACAGAATTTGGTCTCAAGTGAGTGTACTTTTCCAAATCCATATTTTCACCATGAAGAAAGGTTTTATTGTAATGTTTTAATATTGAATACTTTTGTCTTTGTAGACTGTTTGACAAGCTCACTCAGTGATGGATATTTAAGTTAAAGTGCAACATGTTTTTCTTGTTACATCACAATGGTGTGATATTTGTTAAACCCCTTTGGTCTTGATGTGATTGAAAGCCGAGCCCCAAAAAAAACCCCTAAATAAAATAGTTTGCTTAATAAAAAGATCCCCATTTTCTGTTGCTCCCCAAAAGATTTTTCTTCTCAATGCCTGAAATGACTTGTTATCAGATGCAAGAGTCTTTCTACACAGAGAAAGATTTTAAAAGATCTGCAAGTAATAATGACACTGTTGCTGTAAATAAAAACCATTAAACTAGATTAACTATGTAAATACACTGTTGGATTAAGAAAATGAGACCCAAGAGTCAAAATATGTATTTCACAGTAAGATCATCTTGTTAGAGGACCTTTAAATACTTTTGAAGTAACCTAGTTGAAATTTTCTTTTAGCTATATTTTTGTTGTTTTCTGATTTCATATGATACAGAATATGATCAAAATAGCATAATTACATCTGTAGGTAATCTTGCAGCCAAATGATAATTTCTGTAGCCAAAATTAATGAAATTTTAGTAAATGACTAATTTTGTTGAGTCCGTAATGGAGTTATTAAAATCAGTTTGAAAACTGGCATTTAACAAAAAAAATCTAAGCAATTATTTTTGTGATAGATTTATTGTGAGAGGACATTCTATGTTTTAAGGCATACTTGCTTGTCAAATGTGAATGTAGTTTTAAAAAATGGTGAACTTATAGATTTACTTGAATTTCAGTCCATCTCCTAAAGTACAGAGGTAAATATTATCTCATGTAAAGGAAACATCACCAACATTTCACATATAGAACTTGTATAATTTATATATTACAAGTTTCATAATATATATAGAAAAACATATTGTTGTGTTTATTTTTTTGTGCTGTGATTTTTCTCTATTGTGTGTAGTGCAGATATATCACCATAATATTTTTTTTTCTTGGCCTTTTTTCAGTGTTTTTTTTTTTAGCTTACAGAAAAGATTTGAATATATCAGAATTTCTTTAATGTACCTATATTGTCTCTTAGAGTGCTAAATTCTCAAAAATTGTCATCAAAATGAAAGTAGATTTTTCGTAGTCTTATTTTCATTTAACTACTTTTGCACTTTTATTAAATCTTATATAATTTTGTATTGTATATAATTTTTGTATCAATTTTTAATATTACATAATATAAACTATATCTGGTAGAGCGTAAATAACTTACAATAACTATATGCACATTACAAACATAAAAACCAGGCCAATATTTTGTATCACCACAAAGCAAGTATTGTAGTAATTAATAACTTTGCCCCAGATCAGGTCTGTTCAAGTCTGCCTACTTAGTTCAACAGGCAGAGCTTCAGATGTGTAATCAGGGGTCGTTGGTTTTATCCTAGGGTGGGGTGAAAATTCTGTGTGATAGTTAATCACAGGCATTGAGTGTAATGGTCATTTGTGGTTTATCGCTGATTCAGAAATCATGTGGGATTTGAAAATTGTGACTTTCTAAAAAAAATTGTAATTACTGGTTAGTTATCAAGGGAAGCAAGTTAGATGAACCAACTGCAGAGATATGACCAAAATTTGTTGACTTTGACTATAATGAACCCACAAAAACAAACAGAAAAAAGGTATATGTAATGTATTATCATTTATGACATCAACTGATATTTGATGTCAGGTGGATTACCTCTCTGAAGGATGATTTCATCTATTCTATTGCATGTAAGATAGTGACAGGGAGCAAATTTTTTGATAATTTTTGTTTCTTACAGCACAATTTTTTGTCCAGGTTCTATCTAATAATCACTTGACCTTGGACTCCTGACTATTTTATATAGCACATCTCCAGATTGTATAATAGTAATAGTTTATACAGCAACATTTTGAAATTATGACAGGAAAAAGTAGTAACTAATTACATTGGAAGGATGTTATCATTATTCATTATACTGTTTGTAGTGATATTTTGCAGTACTTCTTGGATTTGCTTTTCATCTTTGATCTTTTCTTTTATTACTTTTTTTGTCATTTAAATAATAATTTTGTAACCTTGCCACACCACATATGTAGTTGTATTGTCATGGATTAAAAGAAAGTGCAGAAATTTAAAGTTCACAAACTATTTTATTTTTTTCCTTGCTGAACAAACAATGCATATTTTAAATTTAGAAATTTAAATGCGGTAGCCTATGAAAATTGTGAAAACTCTTCGTAAAATACAAAATATCCTAAAAATTAACCTTGCTGCTAGAAATCTTCACAATTTGGGGGTATTTTATAGATTTAATTGAGAATAGATATGAGTTTTGTCACTTGAAAGAAAAGATTAATTTGGTGTGTATAGCATGCAAATGCAACAAGTCGCTGACATAATTTCCTTTTTTAAGTGACATTATGCTATTTTTACATTAGCAAGTTGAGTTGAATTTACTTTATATTTCCAAAAGATTGACTGTTTGTTATAATGGTGATAGACTAACAGTTGATACTGGAAAATGTTCAGGATAAAATTTGAATCTGCCTAAAATATAAAAAAAACAACCAAGCTGAAGGTAAATTTTGACGGATACAAGTTAAAAGTGTTTATTGCAAAATGTAAACTTATTTTAACTTTCACCTATTAACTCACTTTATACCCTTGGATTGGCATAATGTCACATGGGCATAATGTCACTAACCATGTAACTCTTATTAGATGAAAAGATTGCTGTGTTTTACATAGATGTATGTACACAGATAATCTACATATTCTTCGAATATTGACTGATAAGGACTTGAATTCTATATGGATGGAAAACATTGTAATATTGTTAAGCTGAAAAAGATTACTATTGTAAATTTCACATCTTTTATTTCAGGGTCCAAGTCAAACCTCATATCGAAAATATTAAGAAAGGATTTGCACACACCAATCCAGTAAGTTAATTTCATAATACAATAATAAAAGTGTATATTTTGACAGATGCCTCCATTGTTTATCCTTAATCTGATGATTGTGTGTATTGGATATACCTTGCTTTGAATTTGGATCAAAGTTTAAGGGATTTCGGTATCAAAATACAAAAATTCAGCTACCAACAGTATAGAGCTTGATCAAGACTCCAAAGATGTGCAGACTGGCTTAGGAATATTCTAGTGGCAATTAATTACCACATTCAGTTGCAGTGATTAAGTAATAGAAAGAGTATCGAAACACAAGGCTATCTGAATTGTATGAAGTATAAATCAGATTGCTTAGTGTTTTGATATCCTTTCAATTTTTAATCATAGGCAAAAATGAAAACACTTTCTCTGCTATTACAATATGAAAGCCCAGAATAAATTTAACCAATGTATGAGCATCTGAATATGGTTTTAATATCTATCATTATCTCTTTCCCTGTCATCATAATTAGTAAACTCCAGAAAAAATGCTGTCAATCAACAAGCATGATCTATTTTTATCCCACCAGTACAGTAACTGGAGTGCAAGTAACTAATACCTGCTGTCCAATTAACTCTTAACAAGTTTTGAATGACTTCTAACTTTTTCTTAGTTAAAAATTGAATTATAATTTCATGATTTAAGAAATCTATGCTGCTAGAATAGGTAATAGAATGTCTTGTAATTTCTTGGCAACTTTTGTAGCTTTAGTTGTCAGTAACATGTGAAAGTTATGGTGTTACAGTTACATTTATTACTAGAAAGTGTACCAAGTTGCTGATATATTGATATATGTTATGATTACAGGCAGTAAGGACAGCAGCAATAAGTTTGTGTGTGATCATATATCAGTACATGGGTCAACAGTTACGTATGTTCTTTGAAGATGAGAAGGCAGCTTTGTTACAACAGATTGATGCTGAGTTTGAAAAGGTATGAAGGAGGTCATTTTTATTGGAATTTCCATTGTATATATGTCAAACCTAGGCTATCTTTTCTCTGGTTGTGTGTTTAAAATTCTTCTCTGAACAAAATTTTTTTTTTAACAAAACCATATTTGAAATAATACCATTTGAATATATTTGTTAAAATTACAGGATATGATATTGTTTAGATTACAAGTTATATAGTTGTAGAGATACTGTTGTATTTGGACCTCTTTGAGTTTCATTTAGCTTCATTAAGATACAAGAAATAAATTGAAATTTAAACAGAAACCTCAACTTATTTTGAAATACTACATTTTATAAGAAAATGTTCCAATTATATGACAGAATTCAGTGTAAAATTTGATATTTATCATTGGACTTGCCATTTCAGGTTAAAGGTCAGAAACCTCCAGCACCTATCAGGGGTTTGAAAGCTTCAGATGCAGGTGATGATGATGATGAAGATGATGATGATAAAGGTGATGATGATGGTGATGATAATGCAGCTGATCTTGTTCCAAGAAATGATATTGGGTAGGACTTTCTTGTTCTTCCATGATTTTATTTCAAACATAAAATCTGTGAGATCTTAATTCTATATTTATGTCTCCACATCTTTGAAGAAGTATGAGTTGATTGTTTTTGCTCATGTTATCCAGGACATTATACAATGAGAGAGTGTGGATAAAACTTTGTAGGATGATTTCCCATTGTCAGTAGAAGTACTCTTATGAGATACGATCAAGCAAAGTACCTAGAGAATGCTCCTATAATGGTGAAACCTCATTGGCAGATTGCCTATGGTGAGAAGATGGTCACTTGTTATTTTGTGGTCATGTGTGTAGGTGTTTGCTACTGCTTGGTTGTGTAGTACCTGTGTTTTATATCTTGTCTTTGTTGATCATTCATTTCAGTCTGGAAGTAATAGAACAACTATAGAATATTTTATGCAAACGCAATCTACAACTCACCTGTATGTGTGCATATGTGTGTGTGTGGGTGTTTGTCTGTTAAATAGATTATATAGTAACCTTAAAAAGACTACATCCCTAAAAACTACAAGTCCAATTTCAACCAAACTTGTTCTTTTAAATTTTATAGAGATAGATTTTCACAAGAGTTGATAGAATCTCTCGCAGATAAGAATTGGAAGGTGCGTGGTGAAGGACTGCAGAAGATTATCTCCATCTTGACTGAGGCCAAATTTATAACTGGAAATCTTGGTCCATTGCCAGAAGCTATCAAAGCAAGACTAGGTGATAACAACAAGAACCTGGTAAGAATCATGTTTCATTTTAAGGTGATTTAGAGATTTAGACAGAAACATTTGATGCTGAAAAATCAACAAATCAGTCAAGAAATCTCAGTCAAGAAATCTTACAGAGCTCTAGATCATAGATGGAGTTTAAATTTGGATTCATAGCTTGTGGGTGGAAAGAAACAACTACTTTACATTCATGGTTACATTTCTTGGAATCCCTGATACTGATACAAGAGATCATTCTTCTTCTGTATAATACGCTGTACAAGTTTTAGATATGTAAAAAACAGTGTATACACACTTTTTACATAGAAAAATTCATGAACAAAATGTTTATTTTAATATCAATATTTTGCATTGAATCTCGATTGTTTCTGTAGTGGTCATAGGATTTTAAATGGTTTTGAATAGGTCTCTATTATTTGAAATTTAGGACTCTTGAACTGCTGCTTCGAAAATCTTAAATGTATCTTTGTTTCTAAGCCTGCTTGCGGTGACTGAATTTACATTGCAGGCCAAGATTAGCTGTTCATGTTCAGGGTCTGCATTTATTATGCCCCCCTTCGAAGAAGAGGGGGTATATTGTTTTGCTAATGTCGGTCTGTCGGTCTGTCTGTCGGTCTGTCCGTCGGTAGACCACATGGTTTCCGCTGATTATCTTGAAAAGTATTAATCACAAAGTCTTCATATTTCACATGGTGATTGGTCATAACTAGTAGATGACCCCTATTGATTTTTGGGTCACTAGGTCAAAGGTGAAGGTCACAGGGACTTTGAATGTGTGTATGGTTTTCGCTTATTATCTTGAAAGCTATTGATCACGAAGTCTTCATATTTCACATTGTGATTGATCATAACTAGTAGATGATTCCTATTGATTTTGGGGTTACTAGCTCTAAGGTCAAGGTCAACAGGGTCTTAAATGTCAGAATGGTTTCCGCTGATTATCTTAAAAAGTATTTATCACAAAGTCTTCATATTTCACATAGTGATTGGACATCACTAGTAGATAACCCCTATTGATTTTGGGGTCACTAGATTAAAGGTCAAGGTCACAGGGACCTTAAATGTCAAAATGGTTTACGCTGATTATCTTGAAAAGTATGTATCACAAAGTCTTCATATTTCACATAGTGATTGGTCATCACTAGTAGATGACCCCTATTGATTTTTGGGTCAAGGTCTCAGGGGCCTTAAATGTCAAAAGGGTTTCCGCTGATTATCTTGAAAAGTATTCATCACAAAGTCTTCATATTTCACCTAGTTATTGGTCATAAGTAGTAGATGACCTCTATTGATTTAGGGGTCATTAGGTCAAAGGTCAATGTCACATGGGCCTTAAATGTTAAAATGGTTTTAGTTGATTTTTCCATGATTGAACACTTCCATGTACCCTTTTTTGGCAATTTTTTGTAATAAAATTACCAATTATGTGAGTCAATGGCTAGAAAGGGGGGTATATGTGTCGTTCGACATTCTTGTTATCCTTTGGTTGATATTTATTTTGAAAATTTTCTCTAAAATTATGAACGGTTGTGTCCAGATTGAAAGATGGACAAGTCCATTTAAGATGGTGAGCATTAAATGAATATCTGTAACTGAAGCACAGAAAAGTTGGTGGGTGATGTTGATGTAACAAGTCTTGCTGAATTCACAGAGAGTCAAGCTTGTGTTATTTTGTTTAAGAGCTAAAAAATCATTGTAAAGACTTCTGAACTTGAAAGGTCCCTTCAGATACTAGTAATTTCCAATACCTCAACTTATTATGGCTTAACAGGCTGTACATCTTTTTGTTTTGATGTAATTGGCCTAACTAATGTGATATGATATCTTAATTTATCAATTTCTAGGTAACAACAACTATTGGTATATGTGTAACATTAGCAACAAACATGGGTAGGCACTGTAAACAGCATATAAAAGTAATTGGACCTGCTCTAATTGGTTGTCTTGGAGACAGTAAGGTATGTCAAATATACATCATGACATCACATGGATAAAACAGATATGCTTGAATCTCTTTGATATTTGTAATGTTTTGATACAAGTAAAAAGATGCAGAAAATAATTGAACATTGATTTGTCTTTTCTTGATGGTTAGTCAGACACTGTCATGTTAAGTGAGGGAAAAAATGAATTTTGAATTCATTTAGGTAACTGCTAGTGGTAATGATGATTGAAGTAAGTTTTTTTGTCAGCAACCAGTTTTTATAGAAATTCAATTGTATGATATTTCTTATATTAAATCTGATTTATGTGTGTTTATTTTACAGCCTGCACTAAGGGCAGCTGCTGTAGGAGCGTTGAATGCTTGGGTAGATCAGACCACTTTGATACCTCTTGCTGAATGTGAGGCTTTTAGTGATGCCCTGAAGCTGGAGAATCCTAACTTAAGACAAGAGGTAAGCTGACCTTTATACAGGGGACATTCATTGTTACGTATTCTACTGTATTAAGCCTAGATTTCAAAAGTTATATTTTTCTTGTGGTGTTACACAAGTAAAGATATAATGTAAAAGGAACAGTCATGATTAAGAATTACTCATTTCAGTTGCAGATATAAATCTCTGTCCAGCCCATCTTGTTTACTGATAGTACTATTTTGCTTGTGGTCATAGTGTCAGGAGCTGTTGGCAACAGTTTAAAGTTACATTAAATAAATATGTTAAAATATTTTTGCCGTCGGCCTAAAAACCAAGCATTCTACAGTTTCATTAACCTTTTTAACAGTATCGTTGTAAATCTCATCAAATATTGTTCATAAATTAGGATTTTAAAAGGAAAACCCCACGGTAACACTAAAGTTCGTATACGAATTTTAACATGCAAATGAAGACTATAATCAGCTCGTGTATGCGCTACGTCACGGAGTTATAGTTGCTATCCGGAACACAGCAAATATAAGATTTTCTTGTGCAAACACACTTTTACCGTTAAAGCTTCACGGTGCACTAGGCCTGTGGTTCAGAAAAAATAATAATCTCATAAAACAGATTAAATTTGTATGAAAATATCCGTTACAATGCGGAAATATACCGTTAAATTAGGACTGCTACTTATAGTCATGTTTGTTGATTTAATATTGATGTACGGATGATCTGAAGGCGGAGTTTCTCATGCAAACAGAAATTGTACTTCCGAATTCGCCACAATGAGGTTGCACATTTGTATGCTCATTAAACTCATTTTGGTTGCCTGGACACCAAAATAAGATCTGGAGTCGATATGAAACCCAATTTATTAATGAAATGTCGCTATTTCTTTTTTTATGAAATTTATTTAATGTAACTTTAAATGACTGTTACTTGCTTGATAATGTTGTATTTAACATAGTGATTGTATTGCTTGAACAAAAATAGAAAAAAAATGATTCTTTATTATCTATTTTAGCTGTTAGGCTGGCTAATAGAGAGATTACCAAATCACAAGCAATTACCCAAGGATGAGATGAAACTATGCATACCCTATCTACTCACCTGTTTGGAAGACAGAAATCCTGAAGTAAGAAAGAAAGCAGGGGAATCCCTCGTACCATTTATGATACACGTAGGCTATGACTCTGTTTTCAAGGCCACCAGTAAGTTAAAGGTAAGTAAGAAAATACATAGAAATGCTCATTGATTCATATATCATACATATTTAATAATGAACTGAACTGATACTTGTTCTATGGAAAAAAAATTTCTTGGAAACTGACCTAGGTTACATTTATGAAAGTTACATAAGGGAAGACACTTCTCTTTTTCGTACACTCCTAAATGAGTACATAGCCAAACCACACTGTAAATGACTGACATTGACATCTGTCTTTCAAGACACTTTAAGTGAAAGATAGTCATTTATAATATACCTAAAAGTTTTCTGATGTAGTTACAGTTATTTTCAGTGTAATGAAGTAATTCCCGGTACAACTTTACATGGTCAGCTTGAGCCATACATCTCAGAAGTATAGCCCAATCATGAAAGCATTCCTTATTGATGTTGTAACTTAAGTATATTATATGAGAAAAGATGTTGCATATAAAAATGGAAGTTGTTTTTACCGAGTGTATATTCTGTTTTTAGCCAGCATCTAAAGATCAGATAATGCAGATTATTGAGAAAGCCAGGGAGAACCTTCCTGCCAAACAACCGAAAAAGAAGCCAGCTGAAGCAGCCCCTGTAGCGCGCAAGGCTCCGACCCCTGCAGCATCAAATGATTATGATGAGGAGGATGCTCCACCAAAAAAGAAAGAAAAGTCACCAACAGGAGATGTATCAGAACCAAAGGGTACAGCTAAAGGACCTGGAAAAACCAAGGCAAAACCAGTAAGAATTCAGGGTTTTTAAAACTATGGAGATATTTATTGTAATGCAATCATTTGTGATATGAATTATAGAACTGTCGTGAGTGATTATAAAGGGATTGACAATACAAACAATCGACTTACCTTCCATGTCTGGATCGTAGCCAAGCTAGGAATTGCCTAATTCTTCTTAGTTACCTTCTACACTAATATGGCGCCCAACTGTCAGACCTCTAACACACTAGTTCCGGTTGGCCCGGAACCTTCCGTTAACTTCCGTCAACTCCCGTAACCAGTACCATACAGTACTACAGAATACACCTTTAACCTGCAGGAACCAAAAGTGACTAGCCTTTGCCACTAGTATAGAGACAGACCAGCCAGCACATCTGTGCAGTCTGACCATGCTCTATACTGTTGGCTGTCTGACTTTTGATATTGACAGTTCCAAAAATAGAAACTAGACAAGTCACTGCAACAAATTCAGCAGGTTAATTGTTAAGTGATGATGTTTTTCAAGCATCATCAGATTAATTGTTAAGATTAATGTGTTGGAATTGGTGATTAAGTTCATCTAATATTTATACATAGGAAGCTTTTTGTTGATAAAGACATTCACTGTCACACTGTTTTTTCGTGCTTATTTACAATATTAATGGACTTTTTTTCCAGATCACAAAATTTGTCAAAAAGGCATGACTGTACTAAATAGGTTATTTTGGCATGAGTTATTTTCGACAACCTTTATGTTAAATGTGGTATTGTCTATTATTGTTCATGTTGATCTAAATGTCTCTTGACTTTATTAATTAACATTCACACAGTTATATAATGTTTGTTTTAATTTTTTCTCTGCATAGGCATCAGCTCCAAGTAAAAGAAAGAAGGTGGAAGAGGACACTGGGCCACCAATCAGTGTAAATGAACCCAAAGAGAAGAGATTTAAAGAAGAAAGGAACATGAAGGTAAGTTTAACACAGTACCCTGCTGATTTTGTGTTGTGAATTTTTCCTGCTTTAAATTTGGCATAGAGATCAAGTGTACCTTATAGTATATCTGCATCAAAATACTGAAATATAGCTGCCAATAGTATAGTGAGTGGGCAAATTGATATACACACTCTGGCCTGCTCTATACTAGTGGTCTATATATATCATTTTATTCCTTTAAGCACTCAATAAATAGTTATTGGGGAGCTCATGGCGGAATGGTAAAGTTTGTTTACTTCAAATCACTTGCCTCTCGATATGCGCCAGTAACTTTGAATTCTTTCATTTGAGTTAGCTATCCAGCTAGCTTACGGAACATCAGTAGTTCTACTCAGGTGACCATTTGTGCCTGAAATTATTAACAAAGGGGCACCTAAGGTCTACCTCTACAAGTAAAGCCTCACCATATGCCAATTGTGGATGAAGTGATTATCCCTTTGTCCAGAGCTGTAGATTAAAAACGTGTTATGCCATTTGTTTTAAAAGATGAAAAAATTCTATACATTAACATTGTATTTCGTAGTGGATTGTTTTTTTAACCTCACCAATGTATTTTAAGTCATTTGATTAGAAACAATATTGAGATCTTTAAAAAAAAACTAGTTTTCAAAGTTAGTAGTATGATCTGAAAAATGTTTATATGTTGTACAAGTTATTTTTTGATGTTTCATTTTAAAACTGAGATTGTCTTGTAAAATAAATTCTTGAAGATTAATGCCTGGACTAATGTACAAAGGCGTGCCTAGGATCTTTTGTCAACAATATAGGGCAGGTATATAAATTTTATATGTTATCTTTTACACATGAAACAAAGGCTTAGGAAGGATTTCTGTTTTATATATTTACAGACATTGAAATGGAATTTCATGGAGCCAAAGGCAGAGTATGTTGAACAGTTAAGGAATCAGATGGAGAAAAACTTCAGTAAAACAATGATGGACCTTCTCTTCGCTACTGACTTTAAAAACCATACAAAAGCTATAGAAATTTTTATTAAGGTAAATGCTGCTTAAAAATGATTAATTTGAAATTATTGTTTTATGAGCTTCTGTTTTATTGTGCTTTGTTTGAATATGTTCACAGTTTTGTAGATGTAGTTTTTCTCAGTATGAAAAAAATCTCTGTGATGATACTTTATACATACAAAGGCAAGGCTAGTGATTGGAATGGTTTAAAGACAAATTATAACCTTAAAGTTATTTGAACTTTTTAAGATATTTTTTAAGCTTATGAGCTTCAGTGGTTACTGTTTAGTTATTAAACTTGACTATCACTGCTGAGAGTTTATATTTAGAGCCTTGGGGCAAGCATTATATTGCATTATTCATTTCATAAATTTAGTATTGAATCTACACAGATTATATATAATCTACATGTATTTATCACATATCTACGATAAGAACAGTTTTCAGCTAAAAGAGTCATTTTATAGAGTAAAGCTAGTTAGCATTAGGGCATGTTAATGCTTTGTTTGTATATAATGCATATGATGTTGCATCAAAGAGTTATTACACTAGTGTAATATGGTTTTCATTAAATGGGTTTGTACCACTCCTTAGCCATGGCTTATTTGATAAATCAAATTACTGTAACCCAATTTATATTCGCGAATACAAATTTTCGCGTTTTGCCGAGGTCAGACATATTCGTGAATATTAATTTTCGCGTTTTCTTGATTTCCGAATAAAAATATTCGCGTATTGGAAAATCCAATGGGGCCGTAAAATCCATTAGCCGACTATTAATCTTCAATAATTGAGGTCATTATTGGTGTCTTAGATGGGATTAACAATACGCTACCCTTAAGTTGTATTGGTAAGTGAATTGTGATCACAATTCAGCAAAACGTTTTCTCTATATATGTTCATGTACGCATCGTTCGTCTTCATTTCTGAACATGTCGTTAAAAGGGTGGTTGATAAAAAATAAACCCTCAGAATGCAGGGATGTTTCGGCATCGTTTTTGCCTGATCATGATCTGGAAAGCACAGCAGAAAAGAAAAAAATGATTAAAGCGGCAAACGAAGCTGTATTTGAAATTTTATCACCAAATCTCCAATCAGGTATCGAACCCAAGCCGAGAAAAGTATGTTATATGAGTCCGCAATCTAACCACATGAGCTATACAGGCTGTAAAGTTTGATTGGTAAAAATCGATACTAGTATGAAACCATCTTGTATTTCACTGTTTGTAATTATGTACACCCAATACCCTTTTGTGATGCTCGATAGGTTTATACCACCTTTGTCTTAACAATTCACTCAAACAATTATTTTATAGGATCCAAAAAACAATAGCCTTTTGTGATGCTCGATAGTTTTCTCACTTTCGTCAAACGATTTATTCAAACATTTAAATATGAAGAAACTTAAAACTGACACATGCTCCGTATAGTATCCTATACGGAACGTGATTAACAATAGGCCTACTAGTATTTCATAAATTGTATTAAAATGTGGATGTTTATTTTGATTGCTATATTGACATAGAGTTCTTTTGAAATTTATGAAATAGTAGTAGTTTACTTAGTTTGTGTTTTTATTGCTTTATGGCAATATTCATAACAATTCATTACTTCCTAACAGGTGCCCGTAAAATTCGAATATATCCGGTCAAGTAGCTTTGCATGAACAACGTCTAAAATAAAAATTTCTCTCCAATTTATTCGCGAAATCGTGCGGACTTATTCGCGCAAACAAATATTCGCGCGTCGTGGCCATCCGCGAATAAAGCGAATATTAATTGGTCGCGAATATTCGTTGGGTTACAGTATTTCGTTGGAAAGGACAAGATATTCCAACTTGACAGAATGTCTACAATGCACAGAAATTATGCCAGTGAACTGGACTATTTTATGTTTTATTTTCACATGACACTGTTGATGTGAATTAAACTCCTCCGTTTCAGAAAAATATTAATAAATGAAAAATAGTTTTTGAATAAGTAATAAAATAGCAAAGAAAGTCAGGTGATATTGTAAGGAATATATATAAACTGTTACATTTATATAATTTTTTTTCAGTGTATGGAAAGTGCCCAGAATGAGCAGCTTGCCAACTTGGATTTAATCCTGAAATGGTTTACTCTGAGATTCTTTGATACAAATCCCAGCATGCTCAACAAGGGGCTTGAATACCTCTCTCAACTCTTCAAGCTTCTCATTGACATTGATTACAGTCTACATGAGTTTGAGGCCAACTCTTTTATACCATACTTAGTGATTAAGGTAAGTTAGGCTTAGTTTAACCCATAGCTTTCAAGTGGCAACTGGTTCTACCCATGCGACCATTGCAGACCACGATCATGGTCTGCATTTAGTTACTCATTCAGTAGTTCTTATGAAAATTTTCCCTAAAAACAGTGATTGATTTTGTTTGACAATTCCATTTAAGATATTAAATGTGGTAAGGTTTAACAGTGTTTTTCAAAATATGATGGGGGGACCTTTCTTAAATTTGACCATAATTTATCATTTTATACAGCTAGTTATCTGGTGACAGTGGTGATACAGATTAATTGTCTAAATATTTATTAGAAAAAACTAAAAAGCCCCACTTATAACAATATTGCTTATAATGGTATACTTCTTATATAATGATGATGCTGTTGCCATGGTCTCAACTCTTGTTTTCAAATTGGTTGCCTCTCGGATATAATGTAACCCAGATATAGAGTTTAGAGTTTTATTTCAGAAGTATCCTGAAGGCCAAAAGCACATGAGGACAACATTTTAGACAGTGTACATGTTGAAAATTATAACATAATAACATCTTGTAATAATTTTGTAGTCTTTCTAAGTCGAAATAAGTATATTCATAATATATAATGATATAAATTTGGTGGTCCCCTAAATATCACTATAAGCAGACTACCTCATATTAGAATGTTAAATGGCAGTAAATTCCATCAATGATAATGCTGTAGAATGTGTTCAGTTTATATGATGGGTTTCTATCCGATATATTGGGAAGAAGGGATATATTGTTTTAGCAATATGATTGTATATTTGTATAGGTGGGCGAGAACAAGGACAATGTGAGACGTGAAGTACGGTCAATATTCAAACTTCTGTACAAAGTCTATCCCGCCAGCAAGGTGTTTGTGTTCATTTCTGATGGTATCAAATCCAAGAATTCTAAACAGAGGACTGGTATGTATGTTAAATAAACATTGTTGTTAACAGATCTATAATGGCAGTATAGGCGCAGGCCAGCTTGCATATATACTACTATACTTGATGTCAGTATTTTTATGCTGAAGTCTCTTCAGTTTCTGATGGTTTGTTTTAAATTTAAAACTGGACAAGTCTTTTAAGATATTTTAACTAGGATGATGGTAATGAATATGAGTTGCTGTATGTTGAATATGGGTCATACATGTGAACTTTTTTGGATGATCAAGTGGGAGATTTTTCTTCAAAAAGAGGGAGATATTTAGAATTTGCAATAAACAAAGAAGGAAGTTCAGAAATCAAAAATAGGGAGATTTCTTTAATTTGTGAAAATACCCCTTATTTTAAGAAAAATCTTTGAAAATATGGCTGCAGAAAGTGGGAGTCTCCTGCCTAAAGTGGGAGACTTCACATGTATGATGAGTACCTGTTTAACAAATAAATTTAGAAAAAAATTAAACGTTTTCCTGACATAAATATGTTAAAATGTCTGAATGCCTAGTTATGCTGTATTTTGATCAATATGTATTTTTTTTGGAGCGTGTGTGTATATTTAGATTATAAGCAAGTATTATACATCCATATTTTTCTAATAGAATTGAAAAGTTTGATAACCTTAAAATTGATTGTTTGTGAATGGTAGCAAAATAAGTTATTTCCTTTTATTAAGGGTTCTCAAAAAATCATTAACAAACTCCCTGACTTTTTTAACTTTCAATGTCCTATATTTCTTAAGTTTACTCTTTTCATGTTAAAGGAGGTTCAATTGTAATGACTTTTGAAAACTTGAATGAAAGCTGAGATCTTGTATTTGTCATCTTCTAGGCTTAATGAGGGTCCAACCGCCCTTTCAGGTACTGAGGGTATGTATCCCTTTGTCAGCTCAATAATTTGTGGATTATATTTATGATTTACAGAATGTTTAGAAGAACTTGGGTATCTGATAGAAACATATGGAATCTCTATATGTCAACCTAGTCCACAGCAAGCTTTGAAAGCTATTGCCGGGCAGATCAGTGAGAGAGATAACGGTGTGAGGAATGCAGCTCTAAACTCTACTGTCATAGCTTACTTGATACTAGGAGATAACTTATATAAATATATTGGAACAGTAAGTATTGTCTTCTCCTGTGTAAGTACTTGCCACTTCCATGTAAATACTGGCCACTTCTGTGTAAATACTAGCTAGTTCTATGCTAGTACTGGCTGCTTTGTAATGCTGACCAGTTATATGTAAGTACTGTTCTCTTCTGTGTTTGTACTGGCTACTTTTATTTAAAGTACTGCCACTTCTATGTAAGAACTGGCCACTTCTATGAAAGTAAAGCCACTTTTATTACAGGCATAGATAATTTGATGGAGCAAGTCGAAACTTGTTTTTATCTGTCCATATAAAATTATGATAAATGGTATACAGGTGTTTAATGCACACTTACAAGGCTTAATTAAAGTGTTCTGTATTTTCAAAAGGGATGATTGGAAATAATTTTTGGTCTTTGTCCAATGGAAGGTGAAAAATCATATTTCAAAATTTGGAAGTTTTTGCTTTTGGAAGACTGTCAGAACTGTTTAGTTCCTGAAAGGGTATTGAAAATGGTTCAGATAGTCTATTCATATTGGCACATAATAACATTCATGTATAACATACATGTACATGTAGATATATATAACATAACAGAAAATCTCTATAAGGGCCATCTGTGGAAGAATGGTTAAGTCCTGCTTTGTGATGAAGCTATCCAGCTAGCTTAGGAAATGTTAATGGTTCTTAAAGGAGTTGCCAATTTGTAAAGTAAATAATGCCCAAAGGGGAACATGAGGTCTTCTTCCACCATTAAAGCTGCAAAGTCGGCCTTTTAACCTTTGCAGAGTTGGTATGATGTTAAACCTAAGATTTAAACAAACAAAAAAAAAACCTGTATTAAAATAGCATATTATGCTAATCATTTTCAGTTGAAAGAAAAGGAAATGAGTTATTTGGATGAAAGGATTAAGCGAACATCTAAAAGTAAACCTGCTGGAGGTCAACCCCCACT